TTGAGTTATTTCTATTGCCTCTGTTTTATCTGAGCCATTCATTCATGTACTAGAAAGAGAATAGACTGTGGCATCTGGGTTCAAATTCCAGTTCACCTGTTTCCCGGAAGTTTGTTCTTGAGATTTCCTCTTCAGTAAGATGGAGATAACAAAGCCTACTTCATAAAGATGAAATGTAATTGGTTACACTTACATCTGTGTACAAAGTAAGGAGTCAATGAAAACTAGTTCCTTTCCTAAATGTCTCAAAATGGCTTCTCTGAGTTTGTTGTTTATTTATAAGCTATGTTCAATATGTAAATACTCACAGTCTAGCAGTTTCAGCAAACATATTCATGTGTTTGAGCTTTTATAAATCATTGTAGAAATACAGTTTCTACAATGCTCAGTTGAACGCCCTGGGAAATGAGCCAGATACATTTGTCTGATGCTTATTTCACTGGGAGGGAACTTTCAAAGGATAAGTTTTGTAAAGAATTCAAAATGAGACCTAATTTATTCTTTTTTTCCAAAACATAAAGCCAATTCTTTGATATTTCTACTAGCTATTAAAAAATCAAAGCCATATTCCATTTTTAATCTTAAGACACTTATCTCTAAACAAACAAAACAAAATCTATATAATGGCACAGGTTATGAATGGCCACCTGAGAAATGGGTTACAAGTGTCTAGTTTCTCAAGAAGAACGACGTGTTTCTCAGATGCGGTCTAGTGAATGTGTTGCAGGAATAAAGGCACATAAATGGCATTGTGGAGGAAGAGTGGCAGAAGAAACAAAGAATTCCAAAATGATTCTGAAAGATTTTGACTCAAAAAGAAGACCAAATATTCTTGTATTTTTGTATCATGTCTTTAAATTTATTTATCTGTGTAATATATTTGGGTATTTTAACAATAACACATTATACTCTATAATTACTTATGTTCATGTTAACTTTAGTCTTTATAAAGACCAAACCAAATCCTTTAATTATTAGAAAAAGAAGCCACATTCCAATAAAAATAAAGAAACTACTCTCAGATTTAGTTGAATATGGAAAGCATTCTATATTTAAGACAGCATGATTTCTCTCTTCAACATTTAATCTAGAAAAATGAATAATCCTTTTGGCATCAATTATACAATTATATAAGTAATATTTCAATGACTGAGATATACTAAACATACTATCTGGAATTACCTTAAATATTTATGTTGATGTGATTGCCTTCAGGGTTTTCTACACTTAAAGCGCTTGTTTCTGTCACGCTCTAAGTTCAAAATCTTGATCATTTTTCAAAGTATACCTCAAATATCCCCTTCTCCTCCTGGTCTTGTCCATTGAGGCTTCAAGAACTCTTTACACCTCATGATTCATTCGCCCACAGAATACAGACATGATTTCTGATTTTATGCAAGAACACTGTATGTTCAACTTACATCTTTTTAAGTTCATGGAGAAGGGGATATTTGAGGTATGCTTCGAAAAATGATCCCCTGTTCTCCAGTCAGAATGAGTTGCTTATTTCTCTGAGCAGTCATCATTGTGTGTCCCTCCATTATCTCATAAACTTAAAACAACTTATAACCATTGTTACAAGTTCAGATGTTTCTCCCATTTCGCTGCAAGCTTCTTAAGAGCAGGACCATCATCAGGCCCCTATTCCTCTCAACACATATCTGACACTCATCCGTTCATTCATCCAACAACAATTTATTGCATTCCTACTGTTTGATACTGTGGAATAAACAGTAAGGAAATACAGGAAAAATGAACAACTAAGTCTTAATGTCATGGGGAGAATTTTCCAAGCCAAGAAAGCTCTGAAAAAAAAAATGAGAATAAAAATATTGCTACAGACCAGATTTACTAAAAGCATTAACAGAAGCCTTGTATCACAGAACTGATGTATTTTTATAGCCAGTGTATAGGCTTCTAAGTTAAGGATCTCTCTCTTGTACTTTGACCATTTTATGTGATCTGAGACTTCTGTGGTTTGTATATAAAAAGCTGGTAGGCTCAGAGTGAGTGAAATAAATCTAATCAATGTTTATTTTCAAAAGAAAACATGAATTGGCAGTAAAAATTTAGAGGGAGGAAAAAGGCAGAAACTTTGTTTTCATGGTAAAGGCCTAAAGTCCAACTTGCAACTCTCAGGCTAACTACATGAATTCTTGGAAAAGAACTTGTTTCGTTTTGAAACTTTCCATTAAAACAACACATATTGCTATCTCAATATATATGTTACACTTAGATTTATTTCAAATACCATTTTTTGTATGCGCTCTTGAGATACTAGGTTTCCTATTTCTTTAGCATAAATTAAATTCAATTTTTCAGAGCATATGTGCCAACTTAAAAAAATTATCATTGTCAAACAATTTCTGATTGGGCAATTTTAACTTGATATTATGCTCCATTCTATTCTCCCAGGTCTTTCTCAGTGCCAGACCTCTTGGTCTTGTCCATTGAGGCTTCAAGAACTCTTTACATCTCATGATTCATTCGCCCACAGAATATAGACATGATTTCTGATTTTATGCAAGAACACTGCATGTTCAACTTAAATCTTTTTAATTTCCTGAAACAATTACCTTCACGAAAGCTAGTCCTCTTCTTTACCAATGTTTCAGAATCACAGAAAGCTATTAATGATTAACATTTCTGTATATATATCTAACTTGCCCTGTCACATTATTGTTTGGTTTCCAAGAACTTCTCCTCTAATCTCTCATTGGCCACTATCTCTAAGATTTTGCAATCTTTTCCTGAAAAGCCTGTCACTTCTTTCATACCTGACCTCTGATGGAGCACAGATAAGTCTTCCTCCCCCATTCACTAGAGAATTCAACAACACTCTGTCTTAGGTGGGGACTGACTCTGTCGCCCTTACTCAGGATCCTTATCAGCTTTTATTATTTTGTTTGTTTGCTTTTAGAGATGTGATCTCACCATATTGCCCAAGCTGGCCTTGAACACCTGGGCTCAGGGATTCTCCCACTTCTGCCTCCCAAGTAGCTAGTACTACAGGTGTGTGCCACTGTGCCTGGCTTTCTCATCAACTTTCAAAAAACTCTAGTCCATTTCCATTTTTAAGAGTAGGGCATACTGGATCACTGAATCTATTAATTTTCTTCCTTCCTTCCTTCCTTCCTTCCTTTCTTTCTTTCTTTCTTTCTTTCTTTTTTTTTTTTTTTTTTTTTTTTTTTTTTTTTTTTTTTTTTGAGACGGAGTCTGGCTCTGTCACCCAGGCTGGAGTGCAGTGGCGCGATCTCGGCTCACTGCAAGCTCCGCCTCCCGGGTTTCCACCATTCTCCTGCCTCAGCCTCCCGAGTAGCTGGGACTACAGGCGCCCGCCACCTCGCCCGGCTAGTTTTTTGTATTTTTTAGTAGAGACGGGGTTTCACCGTGTTAGCCAGGATGGTCTCGATCTCCTGACCTCGTGATCCGCCCGTCTCGGCCTCCCAAAGTGCTGGGATTACAGGCTTGAGCCACCGCGCCCGGCCCTCTTTCTCTTTCTTTCTTTCTTTCTTTCTTTCTTTCTTTCTTTCTTTCTTTCTTTCTTTCTTTCTTTCTTTCTTTCTTCTGTCTGCCTTTCTTTTTGTTTTTGTTTTGTTTTGTTTTTTTGAGACAGAGTATTTCTCTGTTGCCCAGGCTAGAGTGCAGTGGCACGATCTCACCTCACTGCAGACTCCACCTCCTGGGCTCAAGCCCACCTCTTGCTCAGCCCCCCAAGTCACTGGCAGATGCCACCGTGCCCAGCTAATTTCTTTATTTTTTTGTAGAGAAGGGGTTTCACCATGTTGTCCGAGCTGGTCTCAAACCCTTGAGATGAGGCAATCCGCCCACCTTGGCTTCCCAAAGTGCTGGGATTCCACACATGAGCCACCATGCCTGGCCTCTATTAATTTTCAAAACATTTCATTTAAAATGTCAGATTAATTCTGAAACCAAAAATACTCCATGAGCTATCAGTACGACTCTACAGATTTAAAAAATCCCCAGTATAGTAGAGCCTAAAACATTCCAACATGGTATCAGCCCTGCTGAATTCCAGTCCTGGCTCTGCCACAGATTGAGCAGGCTTGAGCCATTTTTTTCTGGATCTCTGAGCATCATTCATCATTCATCTCTCCAGACATTAGTTATCTATTCATATTTATCAGTCATGTGCCAAGGTTATAAGAGTGAACAACGCAGTCACAGTGGTTTACTAAACTGGCTTTCTAATGAGCTGTTAACCTCATCTTTATAACAGAAATAATACCCATCTTGTAGGGTAAAATTAAATGAAGTCAAACATGTAACACATGTGGAAGTCAATTAATGATAATGTTTATTATCCAGTACTTAACACAGTGCCTAGCACGTAGAATCTCAAACCATATTTGCTTCATTCATTTATGTATTCATTATTCCTGTCTCTACCCATGGTGCCTCACCACCTCTACACCACCCACCCACTACTTCCTTGTCCCTGAAGGTATCCTTCTCATTAAGTCTCCCAGCTGAAATCCTTCAAGGTGAGATAACCTTTTCAAACCTGACCAGTACAGTTCATAGGAAGCTACACCTCAGCCAGAGTTATTTTGGAAGCTATCTCTGAGGCCCCTGCACAGCCAAAAGAAAAGCATCCACAGTTCATGGCAAGTCATTTACTACCCAGAAAATGCCTGGATTTTCTTAATCCATTTGTTTATTTTTCCCAGGTAATCATTTCAAGATGAAAATGATGCAGTATCTCCCATTTTATTGATGAGAGGGTTCCCCCCCCCATTGGAGTTGCTCAAAGAATCTTCATACATTGTTCATTAAAACAATAATAATAATTTAAAACATCTTTATTTAAATCTACTTTCTATGAAATGGATCCACTCTCAAATATACAGTTGTTTGTAGTTACTAGCTCACAGTCTGAAAACTGAAGGATATTTTATAAAGGCATTTGTGTGTTGAAGTATCAATATAAAGTGTAACTCTGGAAAGACCATAACATTTAACACTGTATTTGTTTCTAGACACCGTGAGAAGTTGTGTAGCAAAGTTGTTCTTCACCTGCTCCCTGAAGGGTCATTACTGCCTATACAGTAAGTCCAGTTTTATTCTCATCAGTCAAGAACCTCAGCCATGGATCCAGATCATGTTTCTATTTCAGCAGGTTTGTATAATTTGTGTTCATCAGGCTCTTTAATGAGCCTGTGGGATATGGGCTTATAATCACTTTTATTGAATTATTCTTTGGCCAGAGTTGATATGTAGATAACAGCAATACATACATATTTCATTAATAATTTTAACCTCTTTTTTATATTTTAGGATAGTTTCCTTATAAAAGAAGGAATTATTAATCAGTTAGCCAAACATATTAATATCTTAAATATCCTTAGCTTTAAAAAAGAAGAATGAAAGGGAAAATATCTTTGGTTAAACAACAGCAAAAGCAGTGTATTTGGGAGAATAGCTTCCCTTATGTAGTAGTGCTAGCCTTGATTTGTCTAGAGTCTTCCAATCTCCAGTTAATGTTAGTGTTAGTATATTCTTTTTGACATTGTTAAGATACTAGAATGTCTCTTTTTTTCTGTAGAATATATGTACATAGGTGAAATTATGTAAAGAGCAACTTACAACTTGAGAATGAAGAATTTGATGCAGAGATGTTAGCATCAAAAGAGATTCTTATTTGAAAATAGTTATCTCAGATGCACTAAACTTTCATGTAAAATTTGAACATAGATTATAAAATGTTAGTAGTAGAAGGAATCTTAGGAATCATTTTTACAGATAAGAAAACTGAAGGGCAGAACTCAGATTATCTGACCCCTGACCCAGTGATCTTTTTGTTGTCATACATATGTTGAAAAATAACGTATTTTTATTTTTAAAATGCATTATTTTATGCAGCTAGAAGCAGGGAGGGCAAAGGCAGAAAAAAACAAAATGCAAATGTTATAACATGGCTGAAAAGCCAAATGATATGACACTTTATTTACTTCTGTTAATAAAATATTTTCATAATAGCTCCTGTAAAAATCACCAAGAAGACAGTTGTATTTCTTTATAAAATAAAGTCAGGCTTATTGGAAAATAATGAATTTTAATGCTGAATACATTATAATAATAAAGTAGAACTATGGTAATTAAGAAAAGAGACAGATTGGATATGCCTTAGGAATACTGTTTTTTTCTAAAACGAGTCCTCTTATGAACATTTAATAACATCTCATAGAGAACAACTCACATTTTGGTGTGAACCAAATTGTACGTGAATACAAAAAACAGCATTGACTGTCCCTTTTCTTGAAATAACGGCCTTATTTTTCTTCTCTTTTGCTTATATTTTTCACTTAGTTTTCATCAGTGATTTTATATTTGTTTTCATCTTTGGCTTTGTTCTAAACAGTTGTCAGTTTTCTGAAAACAAACCAAGAAATCTTGATGGATTTTTTTGCCCCTCAGTATTATTTTATTGACTTTGTCTGATTCTTTGTCTTTCTCTTTAAACAAAATCACCAAAAAGCATCTGTGTATGCTATGTTTCTTCTGTGTTCATTTTACTGTAATGATTTCTTTGTTTTTCCACACTTATGATATTGTGTCATCTTGTGCCTGAATTCTGACTTTGGGGTAAATAAAAATCAAACTTTGACTTGATATTAATAATTACAACCTGGCACTGCTCTTGTGCATTGGGCCAAACTCTTTGCCTTTTCTGTCAACTGCACACATTCATACAGTTCTCAAATTCACAGACTCCAGTCTAAATGCTTCTGTTTAGATTGATGATTCATTAAATCTGGTCCTGTTCTTTAAATGAAAAATTGGGTGCTGCATCAGTTTTTTATAATAATCAATAATTTCTCAGATATATCCACATTATGGGTTATGTAATTTATCTATTGCTGGCCCTTAAACTTTTTAAATCTGTGGATCACTAACTTGAGCATTAAGATCCTCCATCTTTTCCCATTCAGTACTAGAAATAGTTCATTTTGATGATAATAATAAAATTTTTCTGGAATAGTATTTATTAATCTTCATTCACTAAATAGAAGGTTTGTACATACAAACCACTTAGTCTCATACATCAGTGCTTAGACAGTCATTGACGTAAAAAGAAGATATGATTTCATAAGCTAATCTCATTATTTTATTTTACATTATACATAAAGGATCCTATGTATCACACTGTATGTACATAAATGGTATTTTATACCTTTATAGATGTTCTATACATTTTTTAAAAAATTGTTTCTTTGAATTGAAAAGCTTCTTACATTTATAGGTATAACACTATCATATGTGAATGATTATTAGACATATCATTGATTAGTAAATATACAAACACAAGTTAAAATCTTTCTTTGAAAAGTTTATTTTCATTGGCTTGACTGAAATACATGTGATTTTCTTTATGTTCACATTCTTATTGCTCAACACTTAGAGAATTTATCTGAAAGTTTTAAGAATATTCACCCATTATACATTTTAGAATTAAAACTATTTTTCTGTCCCCAACATACCCACTCCTACTGTTCATATTTGATTAATTTAATAATGAACTTAGTTGTTTAATTTCTACTCTTCGTGATCTACTCTGTATAAATATACTTGATTTTTGTGCTCTACTTTGATTTTATTCCTTAATTCCCAGATCTTTGAGAAAATAAATATGAATATTTATATTAACCATATTCCAATTAAGGAGCATCTTTGGGAAATCACTGAGATAAACACTATATTACAAAGGTTAGGCATACTTATGGATATCATTATCAACTGCCTTGAAAATACTATGAAATAATTTTAAATTTCTGTTAAAAAATGAAATCCTGAAATATATCATATGTTTGATCTTTTTTCTTTTAATTTTTTTTTTTTTTTTTTTTTTTTTGACAGAGTCTCACTCTGTCTCCCAGGCTGGAGTGCAGTGGTAGGATCTCGGCTCACTGCAACTTCTGCCTCCCAGGTTCAAGCAATTCTCCTGCCTCAGCCTCCCAAGTAGCTGGGACTATAGGCACATGCCACCACGCCTGGCTAATTTTTTGTATTTTTCGTAGAGACGGGGTTTCACCATGTTAGCCAGAATGGCCTTGATCTCCTGACATCGTGATCCACCCGCCTCAGCCTCCCAAAGTGCTAGGATTACAGGCATGAGCCACAGTGCCCGGCCTCATTTAATTTTTTTAAGAGAGGTAGGGGTCATGCTATATTGGCCAGGCTGTTCTCAAACTCCTGGTCTTAAGCAATCCTCATGCCTCAGTATCCCAAAGTGCTGGAAATACAGGTTCATTCACCACGCCCAACCCCCATATGTTTGATCTTTAAGACAGATCTTTTTCTTGTTTCATTTAAATTTGAATCATGTTAAAGTTCAAACCAAGCCTAAACAGTGCCTTGAAATCAATCAAACAATACTATTGAGACAAGACATAGTATATTCTGTTTCTGTCTTTAATGCCCTTTCAGAGCCTGTTTCCTGAACCCCTGTCCATTCAGAGTCATTCTGTGCAATTTCTCAGAGCACTGTGGGAGAAGACCAAGGCAGGGGATGCTCACAGCTTTGAAACAGCCATGATGGAGTCCACGTTTCCACAGCAAAAGGTAAATGTTCCTTTCCTTGGCCATGTTACAAGCCAAGATTTAAGATTGTCTTGAAACAGTTTTCCTTTTTTTTTTTTTTTTTTGTTAGCAATTTAATTTCTTCCTTCTTTCCTTTACCTTTTTTTTTAATTATTATCAGAAAACCCTTATAAGTAATTATTTTCACATGGTACCATAGTGGATTCAGAATAGAGTGGTACCAGTAAACAAGGACATTGCCCTTTGAGGTCTATATACTGACACAATATGGTTCCTTAGAACCACACAATAACTGCATGCATACTATGAAATAGAAAAGATTTTACAACTGGGTGTGGTGACTTGTATCTGTAATCCCAGCTACTCAGGAGGTTGAGGCAGGAGGATGATATGAGGCCAGTAGTTCAAGATTAGCCTGAACAACTTAGCAAGACTCCATCTTTAAAAAAAATTTTTTTTAATTAGCCAGGCATGGTAGCACATGCCTGTAGTTCCACTACTCCTTGATCTTGGTCTTCCCAGCTCCAGAACTATAAAAAATAAGTTTCTATTATTTATAAATTACCCAGTCTTAGGTATTTTTTTATAGGAGCACAGTGACTAAGAAAGAAGGCCTGAACTAAAGTTAGAAGTTATAGGAAGATTGGAGAGCTATTAAGAAAGTCAAATTAACAGGACTTGCAGCCTATAAGAAAAACAGAAGAATCCAGGATGACTCCAGGTGCATTGTTTGGCTAACTGGATGATAATATCACCCTGAAAATGAGAAATCACAAAGTAATCTGATGGAACACAAGAAGATAAAGCATTCTGGTTTACATATGTTGAATCCAAGCTGTTTATATGACTAACCAGGTGGTGGTGGTGGTTAAATGCCAATGTGGGCTTCAGGAAGAAAGCTTTGACTGGAGATATGGATTTGGGAGTCACAAGCTAGCACTTAGTGTCATGGCAGAAGACTGGATTGCTCAAGGGAAATATGTATACTGAGAGAAAAGAATGGTTATTAATCTCTTCTAGTAAATATTATCAGCTTCTCTCTTTTAGCCCTTCCCAAACTCAAATATTCTGATTATTCTTATTTTGACTTTTAGATAACCCAGGAATAAGTATTCGATGCTTACTGAGCAAACCAGATGTTCTGCGAGTATATAATCATGGTGTCTGTCCTTGTTTTACTGTTGAAAAGGGAGACAAGCATGCCAATATTAAACAAATTCATAGTACAAATGAGTAGTAAATTAAGTACTCCAGAACTGGTCTCTTGTGAAACTAACAAAGTATCTTTTAAGTGATGAAGAATTCTGATAATATGAAAAATGAGCATAATTAATCAGAAGTTTATTTGTAATGGTCTGTAAGACACTAAAAACCCATCAAACTATTGCATCACTGCTTTTTGGATTGTGTTTAGGAATTCAACGTGCAGTATTAAAAATAAAGGAAATGCCACAATTGCTTCAGTGTGGAGTAAAATGGAATTCTTTGCACATTTCATTCAAATTTTCAACTGTTGCATCATGTTTGAAGACAGTGCCTCAAGTTCTCATAAATTTTTCATTGCTAACTGTATTTTAACTAGAGGCAACCAGTAAATTAAAACTTGGCAGGCTGTTTCAAATCCTAAGAGATTAAAAAAAAAAACTTGGAAAACTACTTTTGTGCATACTCACAAGTATACTTATTCACATTTCTTGTATTCCATGCTAATAAACATTTCTCTAAGGGAAAATTAACTGTAAATCAAATTTAAAAATTTTTAAAGTTTTATAATTTGGTTTGTTCATGAGTAATAGAAAAAAACTTTGATACCTGCAATGTACATTGTGTGGCAAAATTATCTGCCCAAGTATTTCTCAGGTACATTTTTTCCTATTTTTTATGAAGTATTCTCTGTACTAAGTTCAAAATAGTTAAGAGAATGATGCAAAGTCTGCTTTATTTTCACAATAGGTGCCATATAGACATACATTAGTGATTTGAAAGAGATGGCCATGTGCGTATCAGCTGCAATGACGGAGTTTCACTGCAGCGAAATGGATTCAGGTACACAATAAAGAAAGAAGAAATTCCTAATGCCTGAGTATCTAGAATATAACATTCTGGACAATATGAAGAGAAGTTTCTTATTGTGGTTGCTTTTTAACAGAATCTTGGAATTTTGGAACTAAAAATTATCAGTGAGATATCTATTAAATTGCAAACTGCTTGAGGGCAGGGATTTTGCCATATTTACCGTTGTATTGCCAGAGCTACACAGTGCTTGGCACACACTAGGCTCTCGTTAAATAAGACGTATCAATTGAAGAAATTTAAAAATTCTGTCATTTTCTGGATGTTAAAATCAGAAGCAAAGGGACCTGTTGAAGGTCAGTGGCAGAGCTAGAACTGATACACATATACTTGCGATTTCAGGGTTGTCACTGATGAATCTAGTACTTCCCTCCTCTGGGCCCAGGAGAGGATCACATTTCCGTGTCTACTGAAGCAAAGCCGGTCATGTGACTTGATTCAGCCAATGAAATATGGGAGGGGATATGTATCACTCCAAGAGGAATCTTTTAAAAGCCAGTGTACTATTCTTTGCAATTCCTTTTTTCCTTTACCATGATAATGATGATTGTAGGAGCAAATGTTGAAATTGAGTTGCCAGAAGATGAAAACAGCCTGGAATTCTGAGCCACCACATGGAGGGCTTCTGCTCTAGAGAGCCACCCAGTCCCACCACACATTTTGTATGAGAAAGAAACATCTGTTGTTTTGTTAGAAACTGAATTTTTGGTATTAGTTATAGCAGCATAACCTGCCTTTCTTGATTCATACACCTACCAGAGTAGTTAAGCATGTTAGCTCTGAATCACCTCGCTTTAAAATCTGGCTCTGCTCCTTACCAGCTCTATGTCCTTTGTCTCTGTGCCCAGTTTCTTTACTTGTACAATGGAAATAATATTAGTACCTACCTCATAGCACTGTTTTGAGACTTGAGTGAGTCAATACATACAGAGCTCTCAGAACAATGGCCACACATTGTGATCTCTCAATAAATGTTAGCCAATATTCTAATCCCTAGCCAGCACCCCACCTCAAATAACACAAATTCAAACCCGTCTTGCATGAATTAAAGGAGGTTCAGAGTGGAGGTAGGAAGATGAACCTGACTGATAATCTCTCAAGTTATTGTACTCTGCTACTTTGGTCAGACCAACATTACCAGAAATGTTTTCCAAATTTCAATTATGAATTTTCAGTATAAAATTCAATGAAATTCGGCCAGGTGTGGTGACTCATGCCTGTAATCCCAGCATTTTGGGGAGCCGAAGGGGGCGGATCACCTGAGGTCAGGAGTTCAAGAGCAGCCTAGTCAACATGGGGAAACCCCATCTCTACTAAAAATACAAGTATTAGCCAGGCATGGTGGTGCATGCCTGTAATCCCAATTACTTGGGAGGCTCAGGCAGAAGAATTGCTGGAACCCAGGAGGTGGAGATTGCAGTGAGCCGAGATCCTACCACTGCACTCCAGCCTGGGAGACAGAGCAAGACTCTGTCTCAAAAATAAATAAATAAAATAAAATAATAAATAAATAAGTTCAATCAAATTATCTTTTGCAAACTATATATCAATCTCACAAAGGCATCAAAATGTGGAAATGCTTATGTAATATAATGCTAAAATATTTTTAATATATAAAAATAAAAGTTTAATATTAGTGAACTTAGTAAAATGCATGAATTCAATAGTTCAAATTTTTAAAACTTATCACTTACATGACATTTGATAAAATCCAACAATCACTTTACTAACACACAGTTTGTATAAAAAATGTATTAATGTCTGTGTCCCTAATTAGATTGGATTTCCATGAGAACATATGCTTGTCATTGTACACCCAGCACCTAGAGCCTCTCCTGGCATACTGTTGACACTCAGTGATATGTGTTGACTGAATAAAGTGAGTGAGCACTTTTACTAACCAGCAATGGAAAGATGTGTTCTTAGCACGATAAATATTTGTCTGATAACAAAAGAAAAACTATGCCTAGCGGTGAACAACTGAAGATGTTTTTATTAAACAGTGAAATAAAACCAGAATATCCAGTATAATCTTTATAATTTAGTATTGCTCGAAAGCATGAGCCAACTTGAGAATATAAGCTCCATGAGAGCAGGGATCTTGTCTCCTTGTTCATTACAGAATCCAGGATATCTAAAGAGTGTGCCTGGCTCATACTAGGCATTAAAAATAATAATAATAACAAATAGAAAACAACACAGAAATAAGGAGTATACTATTTGAAATAAGAAGATAAATTCAACATTACTTATAGTTAATATTAAGATAAAAAGAGCACTATTAGAATTAATAATAATAATTAACTTTACTGGGCATTTAGAATGTGCCAATAATTATTCTGTTCATTTATTATCAATTATTTCACTTAATCCCAACGATAACACTATGAGATAGACAGCATTATCATTATCATCTTACAAATGAGTAAACTAAGTAGAAGAAAGATTAATTTTCTCAAAGTCACAGAGCAATGGGAGAAATAGACTTGAATGAACAGTGATATTACCACATTCCTGATTGGAAATAGTAAATATTACAAAAATGTTAATACTTCCTTAGTTAATTAGCACTTTAACTGAGTTCCAATTTAAATTCTAAGAGAATTATTTTTTATCTCTTATGAAGTGATGGTAAAATACAGCCAGAAGGATACATAGGTGAGACTAGTTTGAAAATTTTTGAGAGGGGCTAAAAAGAGGACATTGCAAAACATTAAAGCATACTATAAAACCTACAATTATTAAATTACTCTACTTTTATGGAAAGAATTAATGCAGATAAATGGAACAGACTAGTCCAGAAACCAACACAATTATATACATATAATCAGTTAATGTATATATACAATTGTTTAACTACATATGAAACAAATCCTTTTGAAAAAGCCTACATAAAAGAGCATGATATCAAAATCCTAGAGCTAAATTTATACATATAGAAAAAAATG